TAAAATACGTCTCATGTTGTCTTGTATAGTCTTTAAATAATACCATCTTCATAAGGTATATTTTGTCTACCTTTGATGATTGTAGTAATATGATGATTCAAAAATAACTCTTGTTAATCTTTTCAAGAGCCTCATATATATTAGAGTATTATTTTGAGGTTAAATATCTTACATATTGTGGACATTCATTACATAAAGAATATACCTAATTAAAACATTATTATAAAAACTCTGTGGGAAAAATCCTAATAAACGAAAAATAATATATTATTCTTTTAAGTATGTTACAAAAATTGTTTCATTAAAAACCTCACTAGGAAAACCCAATATGACAAAACCTTGGTTAAAAAAAAAAAAGAGTATAACAAGTATTTACTCCCCTTCATAATAATATCACTTTAATTATGCTTCAAGTATATTAAATTCTTTAGGAATAAAAGTAATATCATGATAGATGAAATGACTATACCGTATTTCAAATTTCATTCATCATCAAAATAATATGACATGGATTCTTAATTTCATTCATCACGTTCTTTTTGAATTTTACTAATTGAGAGTTGTGTATTACATATATACGACTTCATTTTTCTCAATTCCTTTTCGTACAAGTATATATCTTTAGATTTTCGAATTTTAAATTCTAAAACTTTAGATTTCTCTAGTAATTTTAATTTCAATTTGATCAAGTCATTTATTTGGTTAATCATTACTTTGATCGATAAGTTTCGACAAATTTATTTTGATTTCTCATTATATGATGCATTACATCATGTGCAAAATTGTTGATGACAACTTTTTATTTTCAATTTTATTTATTTCTCCATAATGACACAATTCTTGAGATATCTCAATTTTCAAAATATCAGTTACCTGAACCTCTTTTGAGATTTTATAATTTATTATGTCTAAATACTCATCAACAGTATACGTCTTCTTAATGTGACCCTCTTTACTAATTGCTCCATCTTCGTTCCCTAAACAGAAATGGGAACTAATTTGTTCTTATTTAAATTAATTGGAAGAGTTTAAAAAGCAATACTGTTAAACCATTTATTGACCCCTCAACTAACACTTATAAAAATGTTGATCTATAGGATCACTAGCATTAACAAAATACATCATCTTAATCTTATAATCTGGAAACTATGCTCATAATTTAAAATTTGAGCAGTAATTTCCCAAATTTAATATTTTAAATACCATGCAATCATCTAAGATATATATATATATATATATATAGAATAAACTGAAAGTCTAAGAATGACTAATCAAGAGGGGGTGAATTGTTTATTAAAACTTTTTCGAAAATTAATTCTAGATATATCTATTGCACAAATATGAAATTGAATAATGAAGATAATGTAAAGCTAATAAGTAAAAGAGATAAAGATGCAAACGATTTAATAGGAGATTCGATCCAACTCAACCGATCTACGTCCTCCATTACCAAGCTCTCCGTCACAAGCAAGACATTTTTCACTATATTGATTGACTTACGGTGCAATCCAACCCTTACAACGCTTCCAATGACTTACAATCAAGGAGCACCGATCTTTTTACAACCGATGAACTTTTTGGGACTTCAACACAATCCACAATTCAATCAAAAGTAAGCTTTACAAAAAGGAATCTTCTCCCACAATAAAGATATATTCAAAGTTGAGTACAATGGAGAAAAGTAGGCTAACACTTTAATAAATGACAATAAGTAAAGCTCAAGTGTTAGGTTTGAAAAACTTTGATCAATGATTTTCAAAAGTAAACTCAATCAAAAGTTTTTAAAAAGTGAATGAATTGATAAAGATAAATAAGGAGTAGAGAGTTAAAGCTTGAAGTATCTCAATTTAATGCTCTTGGAAGTGATGATAAATAATGCAAGAGGTTGGGGTATTTATAGAGTTCAAAACGTTAAAAAAATCTGAATTTGCGGATGACTCGTCCGGAAGACCAATATAACCGTTTGTACAGTAAAAATTAGAAATCCGAACGGTCAAATTCTGGACCGTTGGAGGAGTCCGGTTGACCGCCTCTCTGGGCGGTTGATCGCTCCGGCAGTGCGGTCTTTTCATGTTTTGGCATCGTTCATTCCGATTTGAAAGTTTTGAAGTGTATAGACTTTTGGAGAATATTTTTAACTAAATTTTCATAATAAAAATGTCTTTAAAATCCATATATCATTTTTAAAAGTCATTTTCATGTTTGATAAAAAATGTTGCATTCGAATAATCTTAGTACATAAATATTATTTTTAATGCATAGCAAGATTTTGAGCTTAACTATTCTTTGTCAAATATCAAAGCATTAGTACCTTTACATTTTGTCTAAGAAATCAAGTCTTTACTCCGAAGTATGCTTGTCTTGATCTTTCATTGATGTAGTCTCTCATTCTCTTGATCTTGATCTTTTTTTGGCATTTATCTCTTAAACTTTTTGTCTCGAATAATTTGACTTGAATACAGGGCTTTCACTTTGATCTTCATTTGAAGTCCGATAATACATGATTGATTTGAACATTGAACCATTATCACTAAAAGGAATTTGTTAGAAATAAAAATAATCTTGTTTGTTATGATCAAAACATTGAGGATTAAGTCGACCATATGCCAACATAAACATCATATAGGATTTCATTGGATTGTAGAATCTTCTTGTTCTCCATTGAGTATCTATTTGAATTTGGAATTTTGTATTATTATTAATCCAGAAATAATCCAACTAGTCATGTCAAACAATAAAGTCAATTGAATTTCTGGTTCAATATGGATATAATTCAATTATTTAATTTCGAAGAATACGACTAAACCTTATATAATCATATATCATTCAAGTAGTAAAATTGATCAATATCCTCATGACATTAGTTATATGTTTCTTTCAGAGATAAGCATGAATTCAAAATAATATATTCTTTGAAAATGTGCTACTTCGAGAATACATTATCTTTAATTATTGTTTCTTCAAAAACAAGATATTAATATTCTTCTGAAATATTGAAAATTAATTCATACTCTCCAAGAGTAATAAATTATTATTATTCTTGAATATTATAATATAAAAATTTAATTTTCTTTAAAAATTATAACCTAGTATTGAGTTGTTTAATTTGTGTTTCTTCAAAAACACAATGAGATATATATTATTTGTGACATGTACTATGTCGATAGCATGTTACATTTTTTATTGCTTCTTCAAGAGCAATAAATCAATATTCTTCTGAAATATTGATAATTATAATATTACGCTCTTAAGGAGCCATAATATATTATTGTTTAGATTAATAAAATATGTAAATTTTTACTCTTCACGAGCAAGTAAAACTTAACTAGAATATAAGTACTTATGCAAAATAATGGATATCTATGCAAAAGAATGGATATGTAAATAAATTGAGTAATTAAATTTGATATTTTGCATAAAAATCGGTCAATATTCTTCTAGACTATTGAAATTGTAATATCACTCTCTTTTGGAGCAATTAATATTAAAATATTAATTATAATATTATTTTATTTCAGAAGCAACAAAATATTTATAATAGACAGATCTACAAGTAACATTCTTCGAAAATATTGAAATCGGAGTGTTATGCTCTTTAGGAACTTGTAAAATCTAACTAAATCATTAATAATAGTATGTCTCTTTATGAAGGAACAATTTTTTATAATAGACAAATATACGAATATTAAATTCATAAAGTATACTCATATAAACAAAAAAAAAAAAAAAAAAAAAAAAAAAAACAATGAGGTAATGATAAACAAGAAGCAAACAAATTAATTACAGTGATTGGAAGTGCGTAATTATGATTGCTTATTCTACTATATGATGATTGGGCATGCATAATTTGGTGATTGAATTTTCAAAATTTGTAGACAAAAAATTAGGCAAAAACCAATTTGCTATGTGATAATGAAAATTAATTGGGGCAGAAGTCAATCCATGAAAATTAATTATTAATGTAAGCTACAATAAATAAATAAATAAATAAAACATGTGATTTGAGATTAGCTATAGACTACCTTCAAGCTAATTTGCTATAATTTTAAAAGAATCGTACTAATAGTGTGTTATAAATTCGAGAAAACAAAAAAGTTAAGAACCAATGCCCTTTATTTATAGAATTCAAAATAAGAGTTACAGTTGATTAAAATAAATCTTTAAGACTGGGTAAGACTTCATAATCATCAATTTTTACAACACTCATTAAAGATAATTCATTTTCTTATTTTCAAATTTATAGTGCAGCTCGCTTAACTTACAAGCCAAAAAAGTGTTTGTATTGAAAAAAAATAAAAAATAAAATTGAAGTTTTATCAAATTTTAACCATTCCAATTCAATTTTAATCTCAAATCTAATGTGACCCATGATTTTTATCAATTTTTGACAATACACTACATCAACTTTTATCAAAATTTACTATTTTTTTGGTCAAAAACTTTATCAAATAACCCTAAGTTGCACAAGATAATTTATTTTTTATTGGTTATTTATTTTAAAAGTGACATCTATTTTATTTATTTTGAGACTACGGTTTTCAAATAAAAAATATCAATTTTCAAATTGAAGAATGTTTACTTAAACTTTTAACATGAAATATGAATCATGAACTCATTTTACTTTCAACAAAAAATTTGAGATGTGAAGAAAAGAATTGTGTATAAATCTATATAAAAAATCTGAGAAAATTGTTTTAAGCTTTATTAATTTTTTATTGGTCACTTATTTTAAAAGTAACAACTATTTTACTTATTTTGAGAATAAGGTAAAATTTATTTTTAAATAATAAATATTATTTTTTAATTTGAAGAATGTTTACTTAGACCTTTAACATAAAATATGAATCATGAACTCATTTTACTTCCGACAAAAAAAAATTGAGATGTGAAGAAAAGAATTTTGTATAAATATATATAAAAAATTGGAGAAAATTGTTTTAAACTTCATTATTTGGATTGGTTAATAATTGAAATCTCGTTCTAATTATGCACAATCACCTTTTAAGATGGTATTTTCACAATAGCCATGCAATTCAATGCTTTGAATTTGAAATAAACGACAATTCTATGTTTAGTTTCAAACAAACAAAGGTCTCTCCAAATCCTCACCATCCTACTCAAGCCTTGGTCTCAAGAGGCGTACATGATTGCTATGGCAAAGTGTGACTCCCTTCGACCAATTCAGAGCCTTAGTCAAATTATTATTGGTGTATTTTGTGCTTTATTCCTCGTAGGCATCCCACAATATGGCTGCACGTTTTTTCACTTGATATGCTTAGTTGTAGTTGGGCTGATTTTCTCTCTCTTTTTCATCATACATCGGTGACGATTTGAGTTAATACCAATCATTTTGACCCTAAGAAAAACATCGGCGGAGGGAAGTATGCTTAACCACAACCGTATTCATTTCATTTCACACACTCCAACCTAGTCTGACTGAGGGCTTTGGACCGTTGCATAGTCCTCTTTCACTGGCCGAGCAGTCTACCGCTTGCTCTAGTGTGCAGACAAATAATTATCTATTCAACATATCAAACATATCATAAGAGCACAAGGCCAGTCGAAAGAAGGGAGAGAAGATAATAACAACATTGTTTACAATTTTATTTCATCTTTGTGCTCTACCACCAATCTCAAGTTTCCTTGACTGATTTTGCACGACTTGACAGTGAGATTTGAGACTAGTTATGACTCATTTTCTCAGCTATTTCCGTCAAAACTTTGGATTTTCAAGGTATATATATAATGACTAACTCAATACAGTGAAAGAAATCAAAGTTCGAGAAAATACTACATATCGTATAGCATGAGGACGATCGAAGTGATTTTGTAGAGTAAATTTGATTGGAGAAGTTTAAAAAAGTTTTGTTTCAACTTCTTTAGTTTATATTTTACACAACCATATTACTTTACTGGTCAAGAAGGTCTGTATCTAGGTTGAGGTTTAGCAAGAATCCCTACATGTTGATTAACAAAAACTAGTAGAAAAGTGAGATGCACAAAACCAAACCTCCAGAACAACAAAAGATTGAGGAGGAGAAAACAAGACATCTCCATTACATGAGCACAGGCAAGTGAACAGAAGAATTCATAGATCATCTTGAATCTTTTACCCGTAATTTCCGGACATATGGAGTATTAAGGCTTTCTAACCTTAAAATCTCTTTGAGGCCTTCTGGAAGTTCTTTTTCCTCCATGATTCTCCTTTCTTTAGTACGAAAACCCTCATTAGCCAAGAAATCTGCTGCACTATTAGCTTGCCTGTAGATGTTTGTGTAATGAACATTTAGATAGGAACTTATGCTCCGAACTTCATCCACCAGGTATTGCACCTTCCTGTTACGGCCAGGGCGTGAATCCGTAGCTGGATCAGAGATGCGTTTAACAGCAAGTTGCGTATCTAATTCTACCCAAATATTCTTATAACCACGTTCATGACAGATTTTTAATCCTGTCAATAATGCCTTCAATTCAGCAGCTAATGCAGAACAACAAGAAGTCCCATAGTATTCGTGAAATGTGAATAGCACATCCCCTTCATGATCCCTCAGGATTCCCCCACCCGAAGAATCACCGCTAGGTATCTCCAACCGCTTTAAACAGCCATCGGTATTCAATTTGACAAACCCAACACGTGGTTTTTCCCATAGAACAAAGGTAGTCTCGCTCTTTCCCTTTCTCTTTCCCTCTCTCATTCGCTTTCTCTCTCGCCTTCTCTTTGTTTTATTGGTTCGTGCACTGGCCGAAGAGAAGCTACAACGACTGTCCATTTCCACATCCCTTGACTGATCAACATTACTGAATGAATCAGCTTGTGAGATGTCATCTCTCTCCTTCACAAAGCTAGAAGAGGATTCCTCTTTCTCGTTTTCTCTGCTGGCATTTTCATTTTTATTGCACTTCTTATCACTAATGGCAGCGGCAGATATTATTCTTTTAAACATTTTATCAAACAGGTAACATTCGTGTACAGTATGCCCCTGGTGCAAACAGAGAATGCAATAGGTCGGGATATTTTCATATACAACTTCTTGCCAGAATGAATATTCTGCAGTATTTATATGGATTCGGTGTATTCTTGGTAGAATCAGATCCAACTCAACACAGACCCTGGCATTGCTTACCATGGATTGATTTGCAGTGGCTTCATCCATCATCAAAGGTGTTCCAATGTCACTCACGATGGAAAAGAGTACAGATTTTTCGAAAGAATTAATCGGAAAATTGGGCAATGAAATCCATACTGGAACTATAGCACATTCAACCCTAGGATTGAAATTGATCGTCCATTTAAAAACTTTCATAGGATAACCACAAACACACGAGATAGGATTAAGGAAGAGTCTTATATAATCCTCTTCTAGGGTAAAAATTATCAAAACGTGTTTGGAATCAATAAGACCTACTGTAAAAGCCCCTTTAAACCCTAAAAAATCGAAAGTGGTTCTCAGCTGTGCTAATTGAGGCTTTCCATTAGAAAATTTACCGATCAAAGTATATTTAGAAGAGCCTGAAAGCTTCTGAATTTCATTATCTGACAACGCTATACATGGCTCTTCTCTGTACACCGTAAGTTCCTTGTGAGGAATGGAAGGAATTGATGGTTCTGCCAGAACATAGGCAAAAGACTTACTCGAAGAACAGGGAGATGGTGGCTCCGATGTCTCTGCGAGTTGGCATACATGGATTTCTCCATTTTCGCCGGAGGGAGAGGCAGCGGCAACGGCCATTCCTTTTCACCGGATAAAGAAAAAATGACGAATATCTGGCCAACCCAAAGTCATTGTTGGTTTCATATCCAACTTTTAACCAGGCAACATTTTAGCAGCAGCCCAGTCCAGAAAAGCCCAATTATCAAACAAATTCCTTTTTTTTGAGAAATTATGGTTTGTACTTCTTTCTCTCGTAAACCTTAAAATCAGGTATTTATAACAATGATCATGCTACATGTACAAGCTTTTTTTACAAACTATCTTATTACTCACAGTAGGGGTGGAGATTGCAAGCAGACATTTTTTAAATTCACATGGGATCCGCTAATTTTGTGAAAGTTAGTACACCATTTTATCATCAAGATTTCGTATAAATATCTTTATCCTTTGTAACAATTTATGAAAAATGAATAATGCTCTTTGTACACTACTTTCCTACAACTTTGTGTACAGCAATTCAAAAATTGCTGACGTGGCACTTAAAAGTTTTTAATCTTTTAAAAAGAACTGCAACATCGGTTTTCCACCTAAACTAGCCCCAAATCAATTCATTTGGCGTTTTGCGCCGATGAATTCGAGTGCAGTTTATGGGCACCTCTTCCCACCTTAATAATCTTTCGGCCAACACACATGCATCCCGCCATTGATAACTCGAACCTTAAAATCTTCGATTAATCCCAATATAGGACGCGATCGTGTTACCGCAACTCTACACATCCAACGAAAATCAGATTTTTGGTGGAGATTCGCCTACTTAAGTAATTGCAGTATCATAGGGGTCGAAGGAATGACAGATAAAGGTGGTTTCCATAATATTTTGAACTTGTGGTGTTCGAAAATATAAGTAATTTTTGTATGATTCTAAATTTTCCTATTGGTTAATATGTTATATTATTTCTAATATTTTTGAAATCGGGAATTCATTTATATATTAACAATACTCCAAATTTAATTTTGTTTTAATGCTGAGAACGTTCCCATTCAATATGTTGTAGGAAACGAACTAGTGGACTTATCAAATGATGAAGTTTTTGTAGAATCCAATAATGAGAACAATATGGACAATATAATCACATTGGGAGATGATATCTTAGGAGGAGATTGTGCGATTGTGCTTGAGGTGGGTATCAAGTTTAAAAATGAAAAAAAAGCGGTTTGAATTTTACAAGAGGTACACATATAACATAGGTTTTTCGATTAGGCAATGGAATTCTAGAAAAGGGGGAGGAAGGAGTAGTGAGATACGTTATATTAACATGTTTTCGTGAGGGACGAAGAAACAATAATACAAGCTCTTCTTTGAAACCGCAACCAACAATTCGACAGGTTGCAAAGCAAGACTGACTGCTTCTTCACATATTTGTGGAATATGAAAAATTTGTAGTCTATCTCGAACACAATCATAAAACAAATCTTTCGAAATCTAGGTTTTATTGATACAATTGAGACTTGAGTGCAAATGTTAAACGTATGCTTGAAGTAAACGACATGGCCGGAATTCTTTTACACAAGAGTTACAATTCTACAGTTGTTGAAGCATGTGTATATGAGAATTCGACTTGCGTAAAAATGGATTGTCAAAATTATATTGAACAAGTGAAGTGATTGAGACTGGGTGAAAGAGATGCCGAAGCAATACAATCCTATTTTTCACAAATGCAAGTACGGTGCTCGAGATTTTACTTTTGTATGGACTTAGACAAAGAGTCACGACTAAAGAATTTTTTTTAGGGAGATAATAGATGTGGGCAAGCATATAAGGAGTTTATGGATGTAGTGACGTTTGATACTACACTCAAGCTCCCAATAAAATTATTACTGATCACGACAAGGTTATGCAAAATGCAATTTAGATAGTTGTTCCAAATACGAGGTATAGATAGTGTTTGTAGAACATATAGAAGACAACACATCGATAAGGGCTCAACTTTTTTCTTCTATACACAGATTAGTGTATGATACATATTTTGTTGAAGAATTTAAGGAATGTTGGAAAATTATGCTCAATATATATAACTTATATGATAATGAATAGTTGTTAGCATTGTATGAGAATAGCGGTTGTTGGGTGCCATGTTATTTGAAAACGACTTTTTGGACAAGGATATTGACAACTTAACGTAGTAAGAGTATAAATACATTTTTCAATGGGTATGTGCATTCTAAGATATCGTTGAAGCAGTTCATTGAACAATACGAACGAGCATTACAAAATAAAGTTGAAAAGGAATTTCAAGCATATTTTAAGTCTTACTCATAAATGGTGCCTTATGCAAAAAAATATAAAATGGAAAATTAATTTCAGAAAGTTTGTACTATTTCGAAGTTCCAGGAATTTCAGGATGAGATAACTAGGAAGGTGTACTGTGATGTGACATCTACATTGAATAAATGTTCGAAAAAGACGCATACGATTGAAGAGGATTTTATTTACGAAGAAAATGTTAGAAAGATACAGTTTTCTGTCACATTTCATGCAGGGGATGGCAATATTATTTGTAGTTGTCACCTATTCGAGTTTTGTGAAATTTTGTATAGACATGATATATCAGTGTTGATGCATAATGGCGTCACATCATTACCAGAGATGTACATATTGAGGAGATGGAGAAGATATGTTAGTAGAGCCCACATGAGGATCGTTGTGAACTACGATGATTTGGTTAGCACTCGTAGCCAGTTGAGGTATGATAGAATGTGTGATGTATTTGCAAAGTTGGCAGAAATTGTTGCAGATAACGAAGAGCAAACTTGTGTTCATGGATTGGATTAGATTGCAATCTAAAGACATAATATCTATGAAGTCGAGCTGTGGAAGTAATAGCATTTCCTAGACTAGTTTGCATTTAGGTTCCCAATCTAGAACATCACATGATATAGGCAGTGAGAGCATACAAGATCCTAAGTACTCAAAGAGGAAGGGTATGGCAAAGAAACTACGTAATAAAAGCCCGTTGGAGTCGAGCTCAAAGAAATCAAAGGTAATTTTTATTTAAAAATACTTTTTGGGCTATGTCTTACATTCGTCTAAATGAATATCAAATACGAATTATTCCCATGTCGTGCAGGCATCATCAACTTCAAGCAAAGGTTAGAGACCGAGAGCAACGTAAAGCAATCTTGGACACGATGTACCTATCGTTCAGACCAAGCAACAAGCATAATATTCGATACTCACAATATTTGTAAGTATTTATTGTTGCTTAATGTATCGGAGGCATCTTTTTAATTCAATTTTCATGTCATGTAGGCTGATAAGGAAGGTCACGCACTAACACAACAATTCAAATTTCATTCCCTTGTCAACTTCAAGTGTTTTTGTCAATTACGAAGGTAAGTATATGGTTTCAAATGCATATTTATCACATTCCAATGTTAACATCTTCCATTTTTAATGTTTATGTTAGGTAATGCAATGTCACACTACTATACCAATTTTCCATACAACGGTAGAACACAATTTGAAGTCGTTGGGGAGACACTTAGATTGTTCACAATGAGTATTTTCCCTATTGGATTTCATGGTTTAAACTGTGTATTTTTTTTCCCATACAAACAATTAATTTCATTTTTTGTCTCCAATTTACTTGCTACAACATTATGAATGCAGCTATTCCAACCATCGCCTCTTCCAAGTGCCCTAGCAGGTTGGATGTCAAGTGCTACCCATTCTATTCCTCGGGCTATTGTTGCTGGAGGTCCTTGAAGTCTTTTTGAGATACCAAGTTTCGGAATGTCTTATCAAGCTGTTGAAAGTGGTATTGCAATGGCCTCTCAAAATGCTGGTTCATCGAGGAGACCACTACTTAAACCTTCTAAAGCATCTCAACAGGCGGGGTATGAAAATAAATGTAGGAGGATATAATAGCAATTCATGGTTCAGTGGCTAGCTATACAATATCTGTCTGTGGTCCTTGATACAAAGTATAAGAATTTTTTCTATAACATTTCAGCAGTAAGCATTTTTTTTATTTCATTTGGAGGAACTCTTATTATCATTTAAGCTACCAAATTATGGTAATTAAAATGGAAGTGCGTAATGGCAGCAAGAGTTCAGCAAGTCGGTTGAGCTTTGTGCTAAATGTCATTCTATGTGGTTCCTGCTATGTCTCGGTGCACATGAGTTATGTGTATATACAATAGACAAGTGGTGTTTAGTAAACAGCTGTTCTTTACAAAAAATTGCACAACATCAAGCTGGTAGTCCTTCTTTACTTTGCCTTTATTCAATCTTTTTTGTTTTTGAAGCTGCCTTCAGGGAACTATTACAACCATTCTCTAGAAGCTGCCTTTTTAGCTCCAACATGAACTAACTAAATCATAACAATGCAACATTCCCTATCTAATTGAGTATGAAAATACCTAGCAAATAAAAATTGACACAAGCACTGATGGCGGGCAAGAAGAAGCTAGCCGGTAAATGTAGACAGGAAAAAGAGCAGGAATGTATTCCCATGATCATCATCTACAAGACATAGCAAGAACCACGTAAAATGAAATGACATTGCTACAACAACAATCTTCAGTACTTCTTAAACATCACTACAATTTTGCTAAAAATCAAGTTCCATAAGAAAATACTAGAGTGTCATATATAAACACTTGTGTGATTAGAAACATTTACAAAGATTTTAGATTAACAATTCCAAATGATCACCACGTAGAAACCATTCAATCACCGTCCTAATACTTCCTTTTTAGATTACATTTTCTGAAACTTGTTTCCCTTTGCGCATATTTATTTTTAGCAAAATCTCCAAATCTTTTTCCTCACTTAGCTTAGCAAGCGTTTTCAACATGTGTGACAAATCATCAACGTGTTCACCTCCATTTGTGATGCTGCCTGATTTACCATCACCATGTAATGGAAATTCTTCGTTGAGGGATTTGTTACACCACTTGAAGTATCTACGGTCGCAGGTACAACAATGAAACAATAGCCCTTTATTGTCATTGTTCTTTTCAACCTCCACTCATTTGACGAAGCCCTTACCACAATTTGGTGACGGAACCCTTGCCACAATTTGGACATCTTCCATTTTTTGGGCATTCCAACAGCATATGTCTCCTCTGTCT